ACTTCGGTAGTATAGATTTGAAGAATTGTGGATACCCCCTTAGGACAGGCTTGGAAGTCTTATGCATACGTGTACAGGATAGCCTTCCCGGACGCCTGTGTAATGTCAACTGCTGTTATCGGTCCATCAGTGTATACCCAGCTATAAGACGATAAGGCGCGAAGGCAAGAATGATTTAAGGCTCCCAGGAGGTAAGGCTATAAGGGTGTAAAGCTACAAGAGGATAAGATTAGAAGGTCTTGATATACAATACAAAGTGTGTGATTGTCTGTACTGGGTCAACGTTAAAGCATAGATGCGAAACTTTGCAGAGGCAACAAACAGCCGTGCAGTATGCACGAGCTTTCGCTAGTCACTCCTAATCATTCCTAATCACTCTAATCACTCCTAATTATCCCTCATCATCCCTAATCACTTCTAATCACCTCTAATCACCCATAATCAACCCCTAATCACTCCTAATCAAATAATCAGCTGTTCCCCCTTGTAAAAATGTCGTAAAGAAATTCTATTGATATGTGTTTTTATTTTGAAGCATAGTTTCATATTGAAGATTTGTTTCCAATTAGTTTCAGTAGCAATTTTTAGAGAATGATGCCAAGAACAAAACACCAGAAACTTCAGTCACGAGGTGTTCTGAAGTGTCTCTGTCGTAAGCATAGTGTGCGTAGTCCATTTTATTGAATAAAATAACGCCTTATTTCGAGGATGAGTATGGATGTGAGTCTGTGAGTGTGATATGAGACTTCTCTACATCGCACACCCACTCCATAGAGCCAATAAGAAATCTTCATAGCGACTCGGTCTGATGAGAATACGAAAGAATACATCATATTTTACGAGCTTCTCTCCGGAGGTACTGCCATAGATTGAGAGCAACTAATGGTATGTCGTGCAATATCAAGACATTCTCTTTTTTTAGCGTAAAAAGATATAGATTGACTTATTTAATTTTCATATTCAATCTTCGATAGCTCGTTTCAATATCGACTTATGATGAATTCAGTTGAAGAAGACAAAGAATCTGAAACTTTTATTCAACATTCAGTTCTATTCGATATTCCTGCTCGATTACAATGGGAAAATAACAATGGTTACTGCGGTGAAACGTCTATACAAGCTTTCGGTATGTTTACGATCACTCTTTACGGTATACTAAGTTATAATTAGATAGTCATCCATGAGTGCTCATTTTTTCTTGAATTTGATTTGCTTTAAAAACAGCTACGAATTGTGTTACGTTCCTTTTTTATTTTCTTGAACTTAACATGATAATGACTAAGAATTGCTAGGTCTTTACTATGGTGCTTGGATTTCTCAAAAACTTGTTCGTGATATCAATCATGGGGAATATCTCCTACAAAAATTATCTACTGATGATCGACGAAATCCAACTAATACCTTGACTGTTCTTCATTTTACCTATGACGAATGGGATTGGAAAAATTCGTCTCAACCTCAATTTTATGACTATTGTTCTTGGATCAAGAGATCTATCATACAAGGATATCCCGTTATGTTTGTTGCCTATCTTCTTTATATGCACGATGAACTCTATGATCATATTATGCCAGCAATTGGTATTCGATATAGAGATAAAAATAAATATGATCCGAATGATGTACTTGTCTATTTTAATCTCTATCATCAGAGATTAATTGAACGAAAAAT